TGCGAATGGCCCCTTGTCTAAGTTCGCAGCGGCAAACAGGCTGCCCAAGGTTCCCTGCTGCATCGCTGGTTGGAACGACAGCCCGACGTGCCTGGCTACATAACTCCTGGTGAATAAATGGGCTTCGACATCGCAGAGGCCACTGCTACCATCCTCGTCAACGTTTACCCATCCTCAAGACCACTGGCTCGCATCCCACTTCGTTGTTTGTTTTTGGACTTTCTGCATTCAACGACAATGCATTTAAAATAAACACACACACACACAACACACACACACACACGAACTCCAAAAACTCAAGTGGGGGAAATACATTGCTGCTGCATATCGACCTGCTCATGCCCGAGAAGCTAACTAGTTTATTTATTACAGTTTCATGCCGCACTCACTAGGTTTTACCCATGTTATTTTTTTTAACTAATTGGCTTTTTCAAACAAAAAATAAAAATTCTGGAAGTTTCACCTCTTCATTTATGTTAGATTGGCTTGAGCCCGTTATACCTCCTGGTGGTACGGGCTACCGCCCTTTTTTTTTTTTTTCCTTTTAGTTATTTTCACATATAGGGGGCAAAAAAACCCACACACGCACGCACGCACGCACGTGCGGTGCAACCAGTGAACGGTTGCACAGCGAAAGTAGTCTGTTTCAATCAAAAAACTGGCTAACAGATGCTGCTCCTGTCGGTGTTGCGAGGAGAAAGAGGAGAGTGTAGAGAGGAGGAGGCACAATGGCCGAGTAAACACCGCAGGAAGGATGCCTAGAGGAGAGAGAGGAGGGAGTGCGCATGGACTAGCAGAATCTACCTGCATTAGTGTTGTGAGGCGAGAAGAGGAGGAGTGTAGGAAAGAAGGGGGAAGGGGCACACATGTGCAATGATAGTGCCTTCACATTTAAAATTCAAATATTCAAAGCACAAAACAATATTCAAAGCACATCATAGTTATGTTATACTTCACAGTTACTGCATATTACATTTCAGCACATAATTATGCTGTATTCCCAGCAATTGGCCACGTTTTACAATATTACTTAAACAATGTTTAGATGCATGGAAGAAATTGCAAACTGCTGTCACCACACTGCATAAAGGAGTGGGTGCATTACCAAAGTATCCTCAATGTGGTTCAGCCTTATCCCATGCAGTTTGTTTACAAAAGAGTAATGCACGCTATGGTTGCTTCTCATTTCGAACTATGCACATGCGACAAAGACGGGAAAGGATTAAGCAGAGTGGCGAAAGTAAGAAACGTGAAATGCGGTTTGTTAACGTGGTATTTTTGGGATAGCTAGTTAAATGCACCAAAAGATAATATCGTGCTTGAAGACACAGACAAGAAAAACACACTCGTCCCGTTGCACCTTTGTTTACCATGTCTGCTAATGCTTAATACCTTTTGATACAAAAAATGCAATAATCTCAACGCAGGGCAGTTGGACTGGACACTACTGGGGAGGCCTTTGTCTTGCAGAGGACATAAGATAGGCTGACGATTACATAATCAATTTGCCAAGACAATTTTTTGTATTTCAAATATTGAATATTTGCACACTCTTAGTTCTTTGGCTGCTCAAAACATCTCCCCCCCACCCGCACCATTACCACTTGATAACTGAGCACATTTGTTTTTACACTAACAATTTCTACGAGGAAGATTCTGACACTCAGAGAATAGCTGTGATTAGAGCCTAAAGAAAACTTCACATCCTACAAATTTCTCCTGAAATTGCCACAAAGAACTACCCTTTCCAGTTAACCACACAGATGTGTAGCAGAGTAGCACCAGTTTCTTTTCGAACTGAAGCTGCTTGATCCACTTCACTTCAATCCCTGTTGTATATATAAAAGATGATGTACAACTTCCCATACAAGAGCCTTCATACAGACTCGCAGCAAGTGCTCAAGTCTTTTGCAAGGGTACATAGGCCAATACATATACATACTGCCACCCGTAGTAGTGGGTCAAATGCATGGTCAGTATCATAGGTTGTGATAGAAAGGTTGTGATAGAAAGAAGTGCGCGTTCTGTCCTTTTCGAGAGTCAGCTCAACCGACGCGTTTTGCCAAGAGCACTGCTGCTCTACAACCAATAGAAGTACTGACCCCAAATTATTCATGTTTTTTTTTTTTTTTTTTTCAAATTCTAAGCCAGGCCCCCAAAATAGGAAACGTATTGTTTGGCGTGACTGCAGCCTGAAAAATTATTTACAGCATGCTTTCAAAAGCTAATTTCACTTCCTACTGTTCCACCACATTGCGACAAGGTATGAACAGCACCGCCAGAGAGTAGTATGTGCACGCGCGAGTTTTTGTGACGTACCCTCATCCGCGCATAGGTTCTTTGGTCGTATGCTTCGTTTGCTATGCGCCGCACATGTTTCAAGAGCCGCAACAGGGGGGCATCACTTTTTAAAGGGCCCGTAAATGCCCCACATACAATATATATTTTTTCAAACATTTCACACTCGCATCGTGTGCAGAATGCTGTCGAGATCAACGATTCTGTATGTGGCAGCGCTAAGAGTTGCCACCGCGCCACAGATTCCCAAAAAAGAAAACCCCTCCTCCTTTCCGCGCCTTTCGGGCTTCCGCATGACGCACCGTTCCCTATCTCTGATGCGCTAAGCCAAATATGCTGAAATTGGTTGAGCAAGAGCCTACGACTTCCAGTCAGTCTGCAAGCAGCTGTCCGCGCTGCTTGTACGTCGTCCGTGTGCGTGCACCTCATCTCGTGCAGAGGTTGTCTGGCATGGCATGTCCCTGTATGGGTCCATCCATTGCGTTAGCGATCCTTTGAAGATGTGCACGCAAAGGATCTTTCCAGAAATTGATGCGCGCCCTCCTACGACGGCTGCAAAGCATTATGAGAAACCGGAGCGCTGGCGAAGTGTCGTCTGCTCGCGGAAGCGTTGGCTCACCCAGTTTTCCACAGCGTGCGGGCCTACGAATGCATCGTTGCGGGAGTGTCGCACGTCATAACCCTGCTTCAATCTGCACTCACAGAAGAGGCACCACCCAGAGCAACATTTGCAGCCAGGAAACACTAGCATCCTTGACTTGTTATTGACTTGGGAAATTGGTAACATACCCGCGAAAAGGCCCATTTAATTAGAAAATTTTCTCGGATTTCGCCGCGAGTCCCCTGTGTTTCATTTATCGTATTTCCGCTATAGGAAGCTTTTGTCATTTGTTTTATTGTCAGAATTTTATGTCGGGGACTGTCACTCGTGATCTGCTTCAGTGCAAGACCATGCACTTCAGGAATGACGTCAAAATTCCACCCTCATAAATGAGTTCGCGCCCCACTATGCTGTGTATATTTGAATACTAATTGCCTGTTTCAAATGCTGCGTGTGAGAAAGTTTGCACTTGGGATGCTGAGAGTAATAAAAACCAGCTAACAGCACGTCCAAAGAGTGGATACTTCACATGCAGTATTTGCTTTTAAAGAGCGTAAAACCTGCTGTCTCTGCGTAGTTCCTGTTTCCACGACTGCGAGTTGGAAATTAACTGTGAGTTGGAAGAATTTTGGACCTGACTGCGCAAAAGGTCATGACTAGTTAACAATTGGAAGAAATATACAATGGAATGAGTGTCAGTGTGCATAATTCACGCAATATTCTATTTTACTGTTTCAGCTCCCGTGATCTCTTGTTTCATTACAATTTATGACTATGCTAATTTAGTAATTTGTCATTTATCTGCCTCTCCAAACTGCCCAAAACATCTGAATAACTCACCTCAGGCGTATTCAGAAGGAAAAATTGCGCAGCAAGAACATTCTTACGATGCTATTAAGCACTCACTATCTGGGCACAGATGGTTTAGGCCAGAAAGATTTGCTGTAAAAGGCTGGTAATAGTCAGAATGACTTTACTGTATATACTCGCATAATGATCGCACTCGCGTAATGATCACACCTCTAAATTTTGTCGTCTAAATGCGATTTTTTCTCCGGCGTAATGATCTCACCCCGAACTTGCCGCATCGATATGTCGTGTTCCAGGTCTAGCCGATGATCATCGTCTTTATTATCTCTCCAATGAAACTCGCCAACTGCACGCATCAAACTTATTCGTAATTTTTGCTCACCGTTGCCGGAAACGTGCCATTTAGGATTGCAGTAAGGGCAAATGCCACAGTTTTCACTGAATGCTCGCCATGTGTTTTCATGTCTATGGCAGCTGAACGCGCATATCATTGTTTCTGTGATCTGAAAGTGGGCATCACTACGCTAATGCCGTAAATTTACCGATTTAAATGAAAGCATTCCTTATTTAGACGGAAGAAACTGTTTCGACGTGCGTGACGTACTCACAACCTCCATAACTGACGAAAAGAAGAAAAAAAAATGTGGTCGCTCCGCTCCATCAGCCGCCATGTTTGTTTTGACTGCCTTGTCAATGTCAGGGAATTTGCCAGATTTGGGTGCGCGGAAAGCCCGTCGCGTGCTGTTAGTAGTCATGAGCTTGTCGCGCTGTATTTTCCAATATCGTATCCGGATTTCGTTGACGCCAAAATGTCTGCCGGCAGCGCGGTTGCCGTGCTCTAACGCGTAGTCAAGCGCCTTCAGCTTGAACACGGCAGTAAAGCTCGCATACCGCCCCATGGCGAAACGGCGCTTCAACAGACAATCACAAAGCACAAAAAAAAAAAAAAGTGGTCTCAGGAAAAAAATCATCGCTGTGGGATGAACACAGGTCGACCAACAGAATAGTAAACTTTGGCACAGTTGGTGCATGCTAAACTCTAATATGCACAGGAATTCAAAATCGTAGCAAGATTATGCAACTGGCTTCACTGACGCGACACCACCACTGACAATTATAAAGGCCACTGGCAATTAACAGCTTTGTGAAACAAATGAAAATGTACACCTACTTTCATATCTGTTCATTTAATTTCGCATGTTTTCTGACGAAGCAAATTTTAGATATCAATATTTTTGGTGACCAGTTTTACAACAGTTCTAAATAGGTTCCCTTATGTAACCAGGCTTACCTGTCAGTGCCGTTCCAGCAGCACTCAAACTTGTCGAAAATGCAATCGTTCTCGTAGAGGCTGCAAAGCTTGGTGCGCAGATACTCGTGCACATTGTAGCACTCCACTGGCTTATTGTCCATGTTTAAGTCCCACACTTTAACAGTTAAATAGTCCCTGGAGATCATGTAGCGGCCGTTGTTGCTGAATTTCACGTCCGAGATACTGGAGATGATCTCGGAGAAGAAGCTGCGGTTGGTTGGGTCCTCTGGTTCTTCAAACACTGTCAAATGCAAAGACTTGTGTCACTCTCTCTCCCTCTACACAGAAAACCGATCAACTTACATTTGGCATGCTGGTCACAAAGTGCTGCTGCCCTCATGTCACAAAGCCGAATTGTGCCTTTGCTGCTACTATAAACAAACATATGACACTGAGTTGGATGGAATTCTGCTGCAGTTATTACTTCTGTTAGCTCCTCCATATTTGTAGGTTTGATGTCGACAATATCTGAAGGGCAATAGTCAAGGAAAGTTCAAGACCCTGGTACATTGATGATGAATGCATGAAAACATACAAGAAAGCCAATTCAGGTACGTAAACATGCCAGCCATAAGAGTCAGCACAGCTGGACAGAGGGTCTGGACTGCAACGGCATTTTTAAGTAAACATGTGATGTGCACCCCCCCCCCCCCCCAGGACTACTACTAGCATTCCTTAAAGGGGCCCTGAAACACTTATTCAAGTGACCATGAAATGAATTCACTAAAACAGCTTATGTCATCAAGAGTTCAACACCCCAAAATTTTGCAGAGTTACAAAGATTTGTTGCACACTGCAATCGCATTCTCTCTTCTCTCGTCCTGACAAAAGCGCTGGAAGCTAAGCTGGGAGGGATGGCAGAGGCACAGAAAATACCTCACGCGTGCCTCATTACCTTCAGAACTTTTTCTTATTTTTTTTCGAATACACGTCTTTTTCAGTGTGATCACGTGCGCACACGTGGACAAGTTGCAGGCTCCCCTGGCGATCTCAGACTACCGAGCGCACCATGTTCAAATACGCCAATCGCTGATAGACTGCCTTCTACAAGCGACTTTTGAGCACCTCCCGTCATTTGTTGAGAGCAGAGAAAGCAATTTTCAGCTGACTGATAGTTTATTTTGCATTCTAGGCCGTATGCTGCCTTATATTATTTGGCTCGCGTGTTCTCGTGAACCTCTACTACCTATCAGCAGCATTTTCTGACCATGCTCAAGCAGTGTTGCAGGTACCCCTTTAACACTTTGCGGTCCTGTTGTCGGACAGCAGCGCCCAATAACACCACATAGTCGTAGCAATCCCCTGTTGAGCAACAACCGACAAGGGTGCTTTTAGTTTAAATATCACGGTTTTCTCCCTGCGAGTCGCGTGCATTTTTGTATACATAAAATGCCATTTCTTGAATAATAAATGGGCTTTTTTGAGGTTTACTTTTTTTACACTAAGATGCAGCACGTACGTTCAGCAAGGCTACTGGAGCCTATAGCGTACCCACTCATGCACAAGTCGCTAAAAAGCTTCGCCACATATACACCGTGCGTGTTTTACGGTGGTGCTTTGAGCGAAAGTGTTGATAACTTTACTGAAGATAAGAATTACTAGTCTCCAGAGAGTGATTCTACAGAAGCGTGCTACAATGACGATGACAACAGTGGTGGAGACGGCACCTTTGTGTGACCTGTTGGCTTCTGTGTGCGACCTTGTGCTGAAGACTGGAAAATGTATGCGAATAATTCACTACCCGATTTCAGTTATTTTCCCTTCACTGTCATGAACACAGGATCACAAGTAAGCGCTTCTAATCAAAACTGTGAACAAGATTACTTTCAGCCGTTTTTAACAGACAAGCTGATAGACAATATTGTGTGCAAAACAACTGCTATGCACACGAAACAAAAACCCGGCCTGCACCAACGCCAATGCTTTGAGCAGTATCGTACTAAGCTGATAGACAATATTGTGTGCAAAACAACCGCTATGCACACGAAACAAAAAATCTGGCCTGCACCGACGCCAATGCTTTGAGCGGTATCATACTCTGCCCAAATATCACTAAAGGAGTTGCCTGCAGAATGCAGAAGCAAAAATAATTATCGTGTGAGTTTTTCTCCTAGAGTGTTTTTTCTTCATGGCCCCAGAAACTGGCTAAATAGTTTTGAACTGGTACAGCCGGAAAGTTTCAGACCGTAAAGGATTAAAGCAGTGCAGCATGCATTGGTGAAACTTATCATTGTTCACACGTGTATACAGTGCAGGCTGTATGTACGAGGTTACCCAATACCTTCAGTGACCTTCACAAGTATGCAGGACAGAGCAACAAGGATACTGAAACTTTGGTCGGTTATTTCCAGATGCCAGAGGTTTATGCGAAGGTCATCTGCAGAGAGGTACGTTTCTTGGTCACTGTTGACCGAGATGGAGTTGATGTGGTAGGTATGTGCATTGGCAAAGATCCGCCGCGGTGTTGCCTCAACCAAAAGATCCATGGGCTGTATCGTAGGCACCCGCAACGCTGTCATACCACCCACTTCTGTTCGCGAGCTGTATCCATCTATGCGTTTGTCCCGTTCAGACACTTTCCACAACTTGATCGTTTTGTCATTAGTTGAAAGGAGAAAGTGGGCTTGATTCTTGCGGCGTAGCCACCGGATTTTGTTGATCTTCTCCTCAATCTCAAGACTCTTGAGGTAGTCGAACTCTGGCTCGTGGCTTTGAAATGTACTGTACACATTGTATTCCCCTCTCCTAGGCTGGCTTTGCCGCGACTGAAACGAAAGAAAAACAGTCATGCTTCACTCAACATTTGAATCAGGTCGAACATGTAACAATTGTCAAGCTACAGCCACCTGGTGCAGTACCCCCAATGCATAAGCACAAAAATGCATAAACACTCCCCCAAAACAAGCAGCTCTTCAGCAGGACCGCGATGTTCTAAAAACTAGAAGTGTCCCGCTTTAATACACCTGGTCACCTTACACATAGATCACTCAAGACTCTGGATACACTGGTTATGCTGTTCTTGTCATGCAGCACCAACACATCAACATGGAAGAAACATTATTTTATGGTATAATATATACACGACATGCCACGATATACATAAATGCCCACTAATGTCAAGCATTGTGCGTCCCTTACCACTTTTCTTAAAAGCATGGATTAAGAGAAATGAAAATTGTGGGGTCTCGGATTGGCAAGCGCCACGCCACGCTCTTGGAGTGAAAGGACACAACAGATGTGGTTTGGTACAAACCAAAGAACAATACACATTTATTTAACTACTTTTGAACGAAGATATTGTCTGCCAAATCGATACATCAATCATTATCAATACACTAGGACATCCGTACACAACATTACCATACACTCCAAAACATGACAAACACACAAAACATGACGAACACAATAACACACCCAAGACGGCGGCGCCAACGCTTGACCTACCACGAGGGCCCCCGACGCGCAGCCTGCGGTGCCAAGCACCGCGGACCCACGCTAGAGACAACTGTTCGCGGCAACCGCCACACGCCAAAGGGACTCACTAAACTCTCGCCCGCCACCAAGGCTTGCTTTCTGCCAGGGGTCACCGCCGGTGCTACCACTCTACCAACCATGATGATGATGGTGCTCAACGCGAATACAATGCCATCTATCGCCCGGTGGTTGTAACCCGAAACGCAGCTTTTGGGCGAGACACGTGCACCACGCGGCGCAAACAACTTTACAGGGGGTGTCAGCATCCCCACATTTTTCCAACCTTAATTCAAGCCATATTCCGAAAACGAAGAAGTCAGCGAGACAAGCTCTAACAAAAAAAAAAGACATCACATTTTCTTCATAATGTTGGTGCACCACCTTTATCGACTTCATCTCAGAACCGACTTCATCTCAGTACCGGTCCCGCAACAGCAACGTTGGCGTAGGCGCAATGATTCATCACTCGTGCCGACACGTCTTCCGGTTGCAACCAGCACTCACGAGGTCGCCAGACAGTTGCGCAACACTCACGAGGTCACCAGGCAGTTGCGCAGGTCCCAGGCATCTCCATTGCCCGATCTCACGACCGCATTCCAGGCCAGCGGCGCTGACGATGTGCAGGAGACAGCCAGCCATGGATTACAACACTCCCGCTGCTAAATTCCAAAACACTCGACAGAATCAATGGAGCAGGGCCTAGGGAAGGGAGCTTCGGGCCTTTCCCCTGCGTGGTACGATGGTCAGTACTGCTAGCTAATACATTGGCGGCGGCCGAGATGCCCAGCTCAAAAATAAAAACAAAAATCACTTTTCTAACTCTTGCATCTCAAGATGAAAAAAAGCGAGGGAAGCAGAGTGCGACACCTCCACGCCACGATCTTCCTGGTTGTGCACATGCAACAGGCGCCTGCACAGATCCTTAGGCCTAATGAGTCGCTTGGTAACAACCGGCATCCACCCAGCACCCAGCCTAAGCACAAAAGAGGCAGCCGCGAAGAGACATCCACTTTGTGAGGAGGCCCTATTGCTCGCCGCACACAGCAGCTTACCGAGCAATCGGCGTCCACCGCCCGAACGGTGTTACGACGCCCCGGTGTCAAGCCGCAATACCAGACAGCAACGAAGCCCGGCTCCCTGAGCCCAAAATCGGACCACCCACGAGGCTTCCGTACTCACTCGCTTCGGGCCTGACCTACAAACCATGTGCTCTAAGCCTTGCTCACCCCAGGATGCAGACCGCATGGCTCTCGTCCTAATCCAAGACCCCACAAAATCCACTACAAAATAAAGCACGAAAACGGAAAGAGAAGAAACGAGAAGGGGACATTGGCATTTCATTGTCACTTCCTTGTCTCCCCCCCATCTCTCCTTCAAAACGTTCTCTGTAACGTGGGTAAACGGCGGGCCCCGGCCTGTGCTCTCCATATGCTGCTGCGACAACTTTATGACAATTGAACACACAACGTACAATTGTTGTAGCAGGAGGATACACACACCCAGGAGAATATTTGTCCGATGTTAAAGGCTATGACCCACCTGTGACCCATGACGCATTCAATAAATATGTTTTTGTGCTAAGTGCAGCGCGACCAAATGGTGACCCTCACACGAGAGCTCTCCATCTTGTGCTACTGTCTGAAGGCCGAAATTACAACCAATATATATTGTCCATTGTAGTGTATATTGTCCATTGCATGATTGTTTCTAAAGAACAGAGTGGTGACACATTCCTACATTGTGTTTTGTAGGACATTTGTAAGAAAGGTTTGTGGGACATTGGTCCTAAAAACCTTTCCCGCGGTTTTTTTTAAATATGCCACGTTAGGAGTAAGCGTAGAAGTTTTCCCTGTTGGCTTCACAAATTTTCAGAGCACCTTATGAAGGTTTGTGCCTTTTACTGGCACAAAAGCGCAGTACCAATAAGAAAAAAAAAAAAAAACTCATCACAGGATTTGACTTTTTCTTTTTTGGCAAGCACTGTATTTAAACATATATTTACATTAAAAAAAGCTACAAAACAGCTTTGGCGGATAACAGCTTTGTACCTCCCAAATAAAGGCAACAAACGCCCAATGAAAAGGTGGCAGAGCCATGTCGGTTAATATTACGACTAAATTTCAAGTTTTACCTACCCAATAAATATTTCTGTCACAGAAACTAACTTTGTGTGTCTTCTTGTGGCAAGCACTTTGTATATAAACATAGATTCACGCAAAGATGATAAAAAACAGCTTTGCATATTTCAAAAAACGAGCCTAACGACCCTGCAAAAGTGGCAGCGCCATCTCGAAGCAAAAGATAGAGGCATAGCCGTGTGTCCCACCACTGGGTCACTCCGCACCTGAATCTAGACCAAAAAGCATGCTGCAGTGAACATGCCGAGAAAATTTTACAATTTTCTCATTTTCTATAATCAACTCTTCTGATGATACAAAGTTTGAAATACGAGCTTGCTGGTAAACATACCGCAACAAAGCAAACGATCACACATATTACAAGACATTTTAATGATGCCCCAAGAATTATGCAGAATCGTGTGGACGAACAGATATTATCCAAGGTTCCTTAATAGTTTCACATATTCCTTGAGCAAGTTTCTTTGTGACAAAATGATGCAAGCACGACTGAAATTACGCTATTAAAACAATCGCACAGCAGAAATACAGCAGAGCATTTACTAGCAAAGTTAGCAGCACTGAAACTTGCTACGCTTGCAACTTTTTTTTTTTTTTTAAAACTGAAAACGCACAGCTTCTTCAAAAAGTAACAATCATGGTGCGCATGTTTTGCAATCCTCATGAAGGTGCTCATAAATTCGTACCGAGGCTTCTAACACAGGTGTCGGCAAGTCGGTTCCCCAGTTTTATTGCAGGCTCCGCATGTTAACAGCACCAAGAATCTGGACAGTTATAATGACATTACAAAAAAATTACCACTTTCTGGAGTGTGAAAACTTGCAGAGATAGAAAAATACTTACAGAAACCAAATATGTCAATTTAAAAAAAAGAATTTTTTTGTCCCTTTTTGGTAAAGGGTTCCAAAGACCAGTCTGCCCCTTAAAGATAAATCTGAAGCTGGCAGGTTTTCTTGAATATTTAGCCCCTTTGCACAATTCCACTTGGCGATATTGATGGAGAATAGACAGGGAGAAGAGTGACGTCTGAGCTCGTCGTCATGGACCTCAATTCACAACGCAAGCCTGACTTATTACTATGCGCAGAATTGGGGGTGGACGTGGGGAACGCCAAAAGGAAGCCGCATATCATTCAGGCATGACTTGCCTCCGCAGTTGATGAAAGCGAGCTTCAGGAATCATAGAAAATAAAGAGCACGAGGCAATTCGTGACAAGAGGGTTGCTGATGACGAAAAAAGGCGGGCTGCAGAAATAGAAAGACTACTGCTTCAGGTTGAATTAAAGCAGCATCACCTTCAGGCAGTGCTTGCAAAACGCGCGAGTGTTCAGTGTGCAGATAGAGCAACGGCTCGTAATGAAGCGGGTGCCACAAACTCTGAACGCGCAGCTAAAGTGGCTTATGAGTTAGGCGTCCGGTGCCACTCAAAGAAAGCACGCGTTTGCCCTAAGCGAAAGCCTGAACATGAACTGGCTCACTACAAGGAAGAGAATGCAAATGCACTCATCAAGACACCGAGTGTACAGTCGGAGGTACTATCGTCGGGATATGCTTTTCACGATGGGCAGGTTGTCCGAAAAGAAATGGACAGTTCTATCGAGTTCAACGATGAACGGGCAAAAAGTGACATGAGAGGTAATAAATTCCTTGTGCACAGCTCATTTGGCGGAAGGAAAGCCGATGTACTGTAGTTTCGTTGGCTTCAGGGTCCACTTCTCCAAAGATGTATCAGGCAGACAGAGTCTAAGGAAGGAGTCCCCGTGCAGGAAAGGATAGATTGGACACTCTTGTCTCCTTGCGCAAGGAGACGGATTCTGAGGCATACATTCTATCTTTTCTGTATTGTGGATAAAAATTTCGTGAAGCATTCGGGTGTTTTAAGTAGGATTTTCAGACGCACAACTAAAAGAACGCGCTTTAAAGAGGCTTACTGTGAGCGGTCTGTTGAGCACGTGAAGTGTTTCCGCCGTCTGGTTTGGGACGCGATTACTTGAGCGGGCAGAAAATTCTTCTCCCTCTCGCCTACCAACTTGATTGTTGTAAAATGAGCCTGGCAGGTCTTCACTCTTTCGCAACTACGCCATAGGGCATCGATCCCATGGTATCGACGTTTTGAATGCGCCGCCAAAAATTTGTTTCAGTGGCTACGGACGT